ATGGATCGTTTCAAAAATTTTATCACGCTTTTTGCCCTCGGCCTTTATACGTGGCAATTCAAGTTCTATAATATCCACATCATGTACTTTGCGTAGTTCTGCACTAACTTCATTTTCGACTTGAGTGATCACCTAAGAGAAACAGATTGTTGGCTTATTCAAAATACACGTTTCAAAAAAAATGGAATACATTATTAATACCTTAGATTCTGTATTATCCTGAATCAAGTTAACTAGCTTTTTTAGGAAATGACCAAAATGTCTTTGTACGTTTTGTACTGTATGTTATGTATGTAGATATTTATTTCATGTTTATTAATCAATAATAAAACAGTACCTTTACTACTTGAACGACCACCAGCTCCACTAATCCCAAAGCTACTCTCTGTTCCTGAAACTGTGGTTGCCATTACGCTAAAAAAATAAATTGAAAGAAACTTCTATCGCTATATACAAATTTGACTGTAATATTAATATCACCTGATCAGGTGGTTATTTTCGTGCGACCGGAATAACAATTTCTGGTTTTTCATTATATCATACCAGATACCTCGAGAAGACATATGCATCTTTTTTTCCGGTCACAATTAATAATGTCTTCGAGTTTTTTAACATCTTTGGAAAGAATGCATAATGGTAAGCCTTATAAAGAATTTCTAATTTATTCTGCAAGTACGTACGTACATGTTTATTCGAAAGTTTTCGTGTCGACCTTGTTTCCATTATGTAACATGGACAGTATGTAATTTATTTTTACCCGTTACTAAAATTTGATCTTCCTGTTTTGTTACTTCAACAGATCAACCGTCTATATTAGATATGTTGTGAAAGACGAATGTATTTTAGAACAAATAAATTAATTCTTGGCGAACGAATACTTTTAAAAATCAAATCATAAATATATCTTTATTAATTTTGTAGATATATGAAAATGGGCTAGGGAGAGCCTTGACAAAGTTAAGAGAGTAGTGGATGTTTAAAGGGAGGAATTTCTCAAGCCCTAACCCATAAAATAAGAGTTCCTTTCTGCTACTCTGAATTATTAGCTAAGTTAAAATTATTTTTACTATTTATTCAAGCACCTATTTTATTTAAAATACTGCCTCTAAAATCATCATTATTATAATAAAAGT